TTCATTCCCTTATACATGCATAAAACAAATATTTCTGTTAGAATGAGGTTAAAAATTATGAATATTTAGAAAACTAGTTAACGTTTTAGAGACAGGCATACAAAGACTATTACTTTAAGTGATTACTTACAATTAAATGCCCAAATAGAATGGTCGCTGTCATCAACGGCCATAAGAGCACATCCTTGCTTTGAATCTACTTTAGTTTCTGCCATAATTCTGGTGATTTATACAAAGAATATTTTATGCAGATAATCTCAGTGAGGAATATTTCTGTGAATGAATTCTGCCACTTTCTAGAGCATGAAGCAAATGGGGAGATCGGAATCTCTACAATCTACACATTCCCACCTTGTGGCTGACAGTTAAAATATTGTATGTAGAGATAATGATATTTCACGAAGATCTACCTCTAAATTACGTAACATCTGCTTTTTGTGATGCACAGTATTTTTGTTATATTTAACGCCATATGTTTTCAAGAATAACGTCTCTTCAATTGGTTGCATGATAATCCAAAACACATGTTTTTCACACATGTTGATTGTAAGATCCATTTTTAATATTTTTGGTATTTTTGATTCTTAAACAAAAGTCATGTGATCAATTATATGCAAAATGAAACACTCAGTATACTGAAATGACACCTCTCTTCAAAGAAAGGAATCTATACAGTGCTTTACAAATACTTGCAGGTTGGTCATAATGAACCAGTTATATATTTCACTCTTGAAATATAAATTATCTTAATAAATATAAGATATATCATCGTGTCTACGACAAAGAATGAACGTTGAAATGAATTTTTCTTGAAGTAAAATTACAATCAATATATAATTATATATTTACTGTCATAAACCAAGCGTTTGGTATTGCTGACATATTTATATACAAATATCTACATTTAAACAATGCTGCGTTCGTAAAAATGAAATATTTATCATCTGAACAATTTATATATTTCATCAAGTCTCTCACAATGAGTGATCGAATTCATTAATGTATACATGGTTGAAAAGACTTTTACTGCGACTAAATTTGCAATCGATGATAAACATTTATAACCCTATTCGAGTAAATCAACATTTCATAGAATCCTTTTGTTCTTTTTTGATGTATAAGAATCGCTGATAATTTTGAAAGTAGTCCATTTACCACATTTTCTAAAGAAACGATAAACGGATATAAAATCTTTAGCTTGAAGGATATGGAGATAACGAACAGTATTCAATATCAAAGTCCATAAAACAATACAAAATAGAAGCAGAGCAAACACGGACCTCCAAAACTCACATACTCTCTGAATTCTTACACTATAATTTTAATTTCCACGACATTTGTATATACCGTATGAATAAACGTAAGTGGCTATTGGAAAACAGATCTCTTGAAGAAATCTACACTCAAATTAAAATATACAATAAAATGAATGAAGAGAAAGGCTTTTCGTCCATTGTTGTTTTTGTTATAAGAGACTTTTCACAGGAAGGAATCATTATGAAGCGGCCATCTGTGATTAAAGAGAGGCGACTGTCCTATATAAGCCAGTAAAGGAGATTGACTGGGAATTGGACAATCTTTTTAATCGATACATTCTCTTTTCATTATTTTTCGAAGATTCTCTGTCAACGCATTACGACCGTCGTATTTAGATAAACTGGTTATCGTTCATTATAAAGTAATTACTCAAAATTTCCAACGTCTCTGAAAGCCAACCCAGAGTAGAAGAGAAATAAGCATAAGTAATTCATTAGAAGAGACGACCGTGTTTTTTTATTCAGATTGTTAGTTTAGTTTAATTAGTTTGTTTATACATGTTATATCTGTTTACAACTGCAAGCCATTGATTTCCGATATTTTTAGGGTTCCTTATTTCATTGCTTGGTCTTATAGTTAACAACAAGACATTGACAATGTTATCTCTTTATTCTGAATTATCTCATCCAAAGAACTCTCTTTTTGTTCTACCAATTTTCCCAAACGGTGAAACGGGAGGGGACTATAGGTATCATCGTCTATCTAGCTGTCTTACTGTCTGTCAGTCTGCCCCACATCGTTTTTGACGCAATTATGTTTTTTTTAAAAAAAAATTTTCATAATTGGGTTCACAATCGGGTTCGTGCAGCACTAAATTAATAATACAACGAGACTGTCATATTTTATTATTTATTTGAAACTTGCTGGATAACTTTAAAGTAACAAACCATAGATCAAGTTTGGTTATATTTCATTAAGTTGTTTTTAACCATGTAAAATGAGCTGTGTTGATCAAAGCATGCATGTATGTCTAATGGCATTCAAATACGTCTTTTTTGTAAGGCAGATCGGATTAATTCCAAGACATTTCATTTGAAAAACAAGTAGTAACCAAAATTAGCACATTCTGGGAACACTTTTCATATACAGGATCTTATAAAATGACATCCTAAAGGGAAAAAGGGATCCCGGTTAGGTATCGGGACAAGTATTGCTTAAATAATACTCTCAGAATGCTTATTTCTAAACACTTCACCATCTGCAAAGCTTGCCAGATAAATGTTTCGGAGCCTTTAATTTTTTGTGATGATTAAAAATTCTAAATTTTGACCTTTCACTGCAATATATAAAAAGATATTCTACAGAATTTTTGGTTTGAAAAGAAATTGGCGAAACAAAAGATAACGTTTTCCTCCGTGGAAAAACAAATTAGCTTTCAAAATCATATCTCGGTTCGTGATATTTTTTTTGATAATTGTGTTTCCAAGAGGAATACGCTCTGCGTTTTCTGTGTCAGAGGTACAGTGTATCTCAAATACAGTCTGCGGGGTTCACCTCTTGACTTTTATTTATATCAAAATAACAGATTTTGTGTGATAAGTGCATGCTCAAAAAATATTTGTTTGAAACACTGGAAAGCTGAATCAAATTCCAAAGTCAAGGTCAAGATATATATAAAAAAGAAAGTATTGTCACAATTAAAACAGCAGTGAAACAAGCTAAAGAAAGCCATAGTACAGGGCAAGTGCTTAAGGTTAAGGCAACAAGGTAAAATGTTACAATAGTAGGTCAACCTCCAATAAATCATCACATAGAAATTTGAAATTTAAAAGTCTCTACACTAGTTATTTAAAAGTATGACCAAGTTTTTAAGTTTTCTAAAATTTGCAAACAAGTAGGTAATACTGCAAGGTCAAGGATGGACAGGAAAAAATTATTTGTCCCGATTTTCTTCGATAACAGAAATATAAAATGGATTCTCCGACTCTCTACTCTAAAAATGATTTTGATTTAAATTTGTATCTTTTCAAGATTTTTTTATTATACAACAAACTTTTCCTTGTAAAATGTAGGTTTATTGTTTTATTTTATGATTTTTAACAGTGAGTATCCAAGGGAGCAGGTTTTGGTCAGTATAGAACGAACAGACACCAACATAATGTATTTAAAGAAATCCACACAGTGTGTCTAATTAATTTCATCGTTGACATAGTTAGTTACTACCGTTCACGACTGGCCTAGGTCGATTAAAATTGAGTAGCAAAACTCATCCTTCGCCATGCACAGGGCACTTGAAGTGAAAGTTGCGGGTCCTTCGGACGAGACTTTAAAAAAACCCGAGGCCCCATGTGTGCAGGCGTTGGCAGGATAAAGATCCCTCACTGCTCAATATTGCCCTGAGTGCCGAGTTCAAGTCAAAATTTGAAGCCTTCACAAGTATATGGTGACGTCTCTACAATCCTCGAATGGGGCGTAAAACAATATACAATCAATCAATAAATCAATCAATCAATCAATCGTCAGTATCTTGCACTTACTACATTCACAATTCCTTATCTAATGCAGTGCGATATACTTTAGAATATATAAAGTGTACACCATTTAAAAGGGATGTCCAATGTTTAACAAGTATGAGCTCCTATTAGCTTTTCATAACAAAATACAATTAACCTAGAAATAAAAAAGGAAAGAAACCAGATAAAGATATTTTTATTTCTTATGATAAGCTTTATTAATTTTTTTATTGAGCAATATAAAAACAGGATATGTTAATATAAAATCATGTCTATACCCAAAATAGAAATCAAATACGAATGCAAAAAATGCATATTTCTTAGGCTTATGAATTAAGACACAATCAAAATGAGTTAATTTTTTAGCTTTAAAGTTTTCCAGTTCACAACAATGCATTAATGTGCATGAAAAAGTTTAAAAAAAAAAAAAATTACGCGACTGCCTTTGTATGCAATATATGAGCTCGATATTGCTTCAGATTAATGAAAATATTTTTCCAGTTACATATGACATAAACAATTTTTATCCTCCTTTTCTGTTTGCAAAAACAAGCTATTAAAGATATATGAGTTCTTAAACAACACTTACATGTATTGATGTTTTTACAATGTAGTCGAGGATATCACTTTATGAAACTCAAGTCTTTAAGATAATATTGGAAACATTAATGGAATAAATAGCGATTAATGTATAAAGCAAAATTACTAAACTGAAGGAAGTCAACTAAAGAATAGAAATGCCGTTTAATTTATTGGTATATCCTCACAACAAAGTCGTTTTAAACATTAGTACAACCAAAGCCTTATTGACAAAACAGAGACAATTCTAGGAACGGTTTACGAACTGTAAGTTGATCCGATTGTTACACGTGATATTTATTGATTTTATGTCTGCAATAAAAAAAATATTCAATTTTGTTATTTTCTCGAAGTCTATGAAACGAGGTTTTCAATCTGTTCGGTCATTTATTGCTTTCCCGACAGCATTCTTAACAAAAAGAGTGAGTTCTTTTTTCCCTCAACAGAGACAATTATTTTTCCTTCAATTGAGAAGTTATTTTCCTGACAATCCCAAAGTTTGAATTTTGCAGTTGCATGCTACATTATCCCTTACTACATTATATTTTTTTCTCTTGCATTTACTCTTTAGCAAAAGTAAAAGACAAACCATGTGCCCCACGGTTATTTTCCATAATCAGGTATTTGTTCGTTTAAATAAATTATACTTACAGTCAAAAGCCCATTCCGAGTTATTGCTGTAGTCGACCGCCATAACAATAATCCCTTTGTCAGATACTGAATTTGTAAAGGACTCAGCCATCATGATAGATAAAGGATTTTGCAGTTGGTTTTACACGGTTTTTGATTCGTATAAAACGTTATCCGGAGGGTTTATGAAATATTGCAGCTTCAGATTAAGCTTTATGTTATATTGCTGCTTCAGATGAAATTTTATTCGTTAAGATTTTGATTAGCAGTTGTGGATGATTTTCCTTTCACGGTGTATGGAGAGATTTAAACACAATAAGGTTAAGAACAATCCAGAATCTCTTAAACACAGAATTTTCAGAACCCTTCGGTTTTTGACTGTTATCAGCGTTTCATTCAAAATGATTTTTTTTTCAACACAGCCTAAGTTTTATATGATTATTTTTCACACAATTCACTATACCGACGTGCGTGTCCAAGGTTGTGCTTTTATCCAATAATTTTCCTATGTTCCTCGGTACTGACCCTGGAGCTCACCAGATCGTGAAATTGACAAATCATTAAATATAGAATTATGGATTTCTGATTGCACTTATAACTAAGGTTGCAAAACCCTGCTTTCCGGAACGGAGTTAGGCTTGTGTTGCGATGGCTTCAAATCTATAGATGAGGGATGGTTTTATTAGAGACAAGGAATTTAAGAAGTGCTCTCAATGGTAGCTATCAATTGGCGAAGCTTGGAACGACTCGCTTCCGCAGAACTATCAACGGGAATCAAAATGTGTGTCTGCCGACTGAATGCTCGCTTTATTTCACATAAGCATGATAACAGAAACTTCTTTATTGATTTATAAGCAACATGACATAAGATCACGTTGTTAAGAAAATTAATCAACTTTTGGGGTTTTCAATCTTCCAGGTCTTCTTATGCTATGCATCAGAAAGCTTCATTCTTTGGTGCACAAACCGCTGCTTAATGTCAAGATTAGTATTTTCAGATTAACTTTTTCATGCTTTTCACGTTAGAAAAACACATGATAATAAAATATAAGTTATAAAACTATTTTCGGAATCAAAATTATAGAAACGTAATTTTACTAAAAGGAAATTGCATTCAGAGTTGAATTCCTATCAAAGTATGGATTTTTTTTTTACCTGGTATCGTTTTTGTAGAATAATGAAATACTTAAGGCTATTCGTGTTGCATTAGGTTACAATGTCATAAAAGAAATGCATACATGTATGCTTTTATACAAAAAAATGTATTGTACAATGCTTTCTTAACAGTAATTTTATTTCAAAAATTTCGATACCACTTATTTTTATCTAATTTTTCATAAGAGGCTCAGTGGCATTTTGTGTAAATTATATAAATACCAAGTTCTGGTTAACCATCAGCTTAAAATTGTTTATATAATAGTCTGCATGCTCTCTTTTATGTCCTCTCATATTTTTCCTTATTTCCCAACAATGACAAGAAGCACACGGCGGGTGTGAGCGGTTGGCAGGGGACTCTCACTCCTCTATGGCACCTGATCCCACCTCTGATGTTTTGGAGGTTTGAGTTTTGCTCTGCTCCTATTTTGTATTGTTTAATGGACATTTGAGCTTGGAATACTGTGCATTATCTCCATATATTTCACATGGATGTGATACTGCATGTTGCATAGAAAAATATGCTCATAAAGATGAAGCAACTGTCTCATACATGTAAAGCAAAAAGCTTCGTTTATTATGGTTTTGTTTTAATAAAGCTTTTTTGTGACAACTGAATGCATTATTTCAGAAGTACTCTGTAGAAAACATGCAGAAGCATCTGCTGTACAAAAAATTCTTTTAAAACAGGATTAGCTCAAAGATCATTGTCAATTATCAAGACTTTTACTAAGATATAAGTAGACATGTTTAATAAATATATGGTTGAAATATTTATTTACCATGATCTTAGAAGCTAGAAATGCACTTAGTTTATACTGCTGTCTTCTCTTTCTACATGCAAATAAAGGAAAACACAATAGAGATAACATAAAAGTAGATCAGCGTTTACAGGATACAAAAACATCGGAATCATTGATAAAATGGATTTCTTTACAGACTTACTAGCTAATATTGAAAGACTATAACATTGCTTCAGGTGCAACTTACTTCTATGATAAGAAAATGTATAAGAAAACACACATTATTACTAAGTCCAATATAACCCAAAGCAGTCGTAACTAATAAAGATAAGGGGAATAAAACAATGAGAATCTTTAACATACATTCTATTCCAATACATAGGCCTGAAGATGTACGTGAAATGAAAATTAACGTTTACGAAAGTGTTCACCCTTAGAAACATAATAAGTTACGGAGGCTTCTTGGTGATTTAGCCGATTTGTTGTGCACATTTCTGAATTCAGATCTTGTTGATTTCATCAATAGCAACTGAATACATGCATTGATCCAAAAGTATGTGATCTTTCTAAATATACATTGATTTTTAGAATATGACCAATGGTATTGGTTTCCGTTTTAATCAAGGTGTCTATCTACACATTAATTCATAAATAAAATGAAATAAGATTCTCATCTTTAAGCCGGAGGGAATACGACTTTGCATTTAATTCCTAACCGTGTGCAATATATATTACTAGGAGTTAGTTTCATAGATGAGGGACATTAATATGATTTAAATCTGCAGCCATTAGTACATGTTCATAAGTTCCATGATTAAAACAACGGCAGTAGTTTTTTTTCTTCAATCTCAATTTCCCTCATATATTTCTGACATTAAGAATATTTATCAATTAATTCATTACGTCATGTAAAGTCAAAACATGTATATGTATAAATATTATTCGTATGCTTTTTTCTATCTCCAACTTTCCTTCCTTATGCAGCGATATACCTTCATCACCTGCAAACGGAGTTGCATTTCAGTTGATACGATACACAAAAGCATGCTCTACGTATGAAAAGTTTCTCAAACGAGGTAAATTATTGACAAACAAGTTAATGAAACAAGAATACCAGCAGTCTCGTTTAAAGTCATCATTTTGTCAGTTCTATGATCGATACAATGACCCTATCAGCAAATACAATTTATCATTGAGTCAAATGCTGACTGACGTTTTTATACTAATTGTTAGTCCAATTGCATTATTTATACATTGAATTGTCGACGGATTTCCCCCTTTTTTTCCCGATCATGAGTACTTGCCTGGTGTGACCAAACGGCAGGGGTTGCCCACTCCTCTTTGGCATATGATCCCACCTCCGATGTTTTAGAGGTTTGTGTTTGTTCTGCTCCTTTTTTGTATTGTTTTAGGGACTTTTGATCTTAAATACTGTTCGTTATCTCCATATGTTTCATGCTTTAATCAGAATCGCATACTAGTTAGCAAGGTTTTTTTTTTAGGTAATTAACAGATATTTGTGTCGATGAACTTAAAAATAGGATTTCTGCAAAAACAAAACTAAACCTTTTCTGGATGCAAATTTTCTGCATTTAGAAACATGCATTGTTTTCAAACCCTGTATGCATGTACATTTTCATAGCTCTAATCATACTTAAAGATGCACTTCTTATGCTAACATTTTTTTTATGTAACGGACGTGAAGTTTTGCATGGTAATACTTTAAACCTGACACTGAAATCACTTCATGCCATCATTGGAACACCTTATTTTCTGGCTGAAATCCATGGCGGAAAGCATGCACAGGAAAAAGTCAATCTGATAGTGATCAGCAGCCTATTAAGAATTTATCAATTCATCAATCAATCATAGGCGGCGCAAGTCATCACCAGGTGAGACTCGATTAAAGGTGTGCTGTTTCATGTTAGACGGGAGAAAATGTTATTAATTAGATATCTTAATGACACCTATTGTCCCTCGTTAATGTTCCGACGCCATGTCATCTCCATGTAACATTTATTTGTATTCCACGCAGTTGGATGATTGGACGGTGGCGTCCACATCATTAACGTTATATCAGAGGTTTTTAAATAGTATCATATTTATTTCAATTTCACTGTATTTTCAAATTAAAGAAAACAGAATGTAACTTAAGTTTATCAACGTATGTAAACAAAATCCTTAGATACACATGGTAAATTCAATTAAGTTTACAGTATTACCTAAATATTTATTTTTTTCTGACTGCATTTAGGACCATGCAATTATTGGGATAATTTCACGCCGACTACCTCTGTATTTTAAATGGAACCTGGCGTCAGATAGAGTTAAATAGATCATTCCATTCGATCTACAAAAGCTTGCCCTACATACGAACAATTTCTAAAGGAAGACAAGCCATTGATAAATATTTACATTCAGTGTATTTTTCCTTATGAAATCCATTAGAAATCCATGACGTTCAAATTTCTATAACACAAGCGAAAACACCGCGCGTGTGTACAAAGTAGGAACTATATGCATTTTCAATATGGCACCTAAAATGTAAAATGTTTTATTTCAATTTAATAAAAAACTTTAACCCTGAAAAATTAATGTAAAAATTAACGTAATGTGCTAATCCAATTTATTTTGTTCAAATGTTTTTTGAGTCATTTAACTTTGCAACGTCATCTAACGTCATTTGACGTCACAAACAGCTCTTACATCTATTAACCACGACAATTTTGAAGGGCGCTAAATTCACATTTGAGATTAACGAAATAAGAAATTTTGAAGAAGGAAAATTAGGGAATGTAAAATTTCAATCATATTTTTATCTATGAAATCTTAACACAAGCTTGTTATCAACCGCGCTAGCGCGCGGTATAATTTGCATACAACAGCAGACTGATGCTTAAATATAATGATGATATATACGGATAAGGGGAATTATAAGGAAACAACGGGGTGTGTGATAGGGGATATTTACTCCTAAATGGCACCTGGCCACACTGCTTATATTTTAGACGTGATTATCCTCTGCTAATCCAATTTATTTTGTTCAAATGTATTTTTGAGCTTGATTACTCTTTCTTACATGAATCTTTATACAGTTGTATTTCATTACATATTACATGCATATTTTGTATGTTGACAACTATATATTACTGTATTAATTTGTTATCATCATGTAATAACAATAAAAATAAGTAATCAATCCTGGATGCGAAGTTTCAGAATCCATTTGGAATGATTAATTACTTATGGATTGATTAATTCATTGCATGTTGTTTTATGTCCCGTTCGAAATTTTCATCTTATACAAAGACGTCACCATAAAGCGGAGAAGAGTTTCAATTTAGACCCCTTCTCGGCACGAAGGACCTTTGAGAAGTGGCGGTTCTTTATCGTGCCAATGCCTACTGGACACGGGACCTCGGTTTTAAGGTATTTAGCGAAAAACCCGCAACTTTCATTCCAAGTTTCAGGCGCTTTGCGAAGAAACAGTTGCCACGTTTTTTTTGTCGACTTAATCAGTCGCGGCCGTAATTCAAACACATGACCTTCCGATCCAAACTTAAGGAAATCGGTCCTGTGGATAAAATTGTAAAAAAAAAACCGATGCGACGTGTCGCATATGATTTTGACATAAACATATCCAGCACTTATTTATAGCAATAGGTGTTGGGTGCAGGCCTGTATTTTGCAACCTTCCACCAATATCAGTATTAACCTAAAATGATTTAGATATTTTCACTGGGAAAGAGAGAACAACAATCAATTA